AATCGTCGTCGCTCGGTTTGTGATGACCAAAGCCGTGAAAACCAGCCACGCTGTAAACTGCAGAGAAAATCAGAAATACTTTAAATACCTCAACAATCTTAGAGGGAAATTACACAGGTCAAAGGTCAAAGCCTGGAGGTTTGGTCCAGACAGTGAAAACCCTCCTGACCGGTCAGAGCTGTGAGCAGGACGGCCACCAGGACGTTCATGGTGCTGGACGGAGGAGGCAGGAGCAGCTGAGGGTTTGGTTGAGGAGGCGCTGAGGAGCTGGAGCTGCTCGGGTCTGGATGCCCTCCTGCCCAGCGGCCGGGCTTTTATAGGCCCGGCAGGCAGGGAGGTCCGGCCCAGAGAGGAGTCACGGTTCTGATTAAGCTCCCCGAGCAGGCGGCTGTCTGGAGATTAAGTATCAACTTAATAGAAAGCACAGATTCTACAATCATGTTCCATTTGACCGGTACAAGTTATGTCATGACCTCAGGAGGTTTGAGTCTCATTCACAAAACCACCAAAAAGAAACACTAAACAACCACGGAGGGACACAAAATGAACACAAAGAGACACAAAACCACCAAAGAGAAACACTAAACATCCACAGAGGGACACAAAATGTCTACAAAGAGACAGAGACCAAAACAAAAAGACTCAAAACAACCCTAAAGAGACTTAAAACAACCATAAAGAGACACAAAACAACCACAAATAGACACAAAATGACCACAAAGAGACACAAAACAACCATAGAGACAACACAGGGAGTCTAAAAAAGACACACAACCATTACAAAGACTGACAAGACAAGCAAAAAGAAAATAAATTATGCCAGAAACACAATGAAAAACTACTTTTCACACAAAAAGGCCACATAGACACACAAACTGACTCAAAACAATCACTACAACACACAAACTTTCATCTGTTTGTTATTTAAGCATCTTCAGCAACATGACAAACATTTCACAGCTTCTTTGGACTAAATTCAGCCTCTTGAGACCTTTAACCTGCTTTTACTGGATGGATTCATGTTGTGTTTGTGGCTCAAACTGAAGAAAAGACAGACGACACGTCAACAACCAGAATTTCATTTTTTATTTTGGTTCATTGTGGATTAAGTCGAATAAAAGAAACAAAAGCAAAAATCAACAGTTTGAGAGCAATATTTCTTTTTTCTTTTCTTTTTTTTAATTCTTATTTAATTTTAAAACCAACATCAGAAAAAACAAGCAGCCAGATATGAGTTAACAGTTTAATAACAACCTTTATGGTCACATGTGTGAAGATAGGCAGTAAAACTTTTATCTTCTGATAAAAAGGGAACACTTCTTGGGTTCAGCTCAAACTGAACCAGCAGCTCTCTGAGGCACATTTTCCCCCCAAACTGGACCCGAAACACACAGAAAAGGCGTCCCAAACTGTGAGAGACGGCGGCAGAAGGCCGTCCGACGCTGAATGGCTTCGGGGGGTCACAGACGTGTCGGCTGGACCCTGAAGGCAGCGTGCTGACTCAGCAGGACTCTGAGCGTCCTCAGATAACAGCGGCTGATTAACGGCTGCCTGTTTTCATGTGACGCCACCAAAAGCCTTGAAGGAAACTCTGACATCCACTGAAAACGTCCCGGTTTGACTGGAGGAATCAGGTTTAGTTTAGTTTAGTTTTATTCGGATCCCCATTAGCTGCCAACTAAATGGCCACTAGTCTTCCTGGGGTCCTCACATGAAGAAATTATATTACATTATAAACAGATCATACAAATAAAAATAAAAATCACAGTAGGAAATAATAAAAACATAAACAAGAGTAGACTATACAACATATACACACAGGTCAGTTCATGTTATCATTTGCAGGTCACTGAACGCCCCCCCAGAGGTCCGATCTGAGTCACAGATCCAGAGGCTGAACGTGTCAAACTTTATTCTGTGACAACTCCTGGAAAGCAAATAGGAAATCACTGGAGAGGAAAGGAAAGTAATGAATCCTCAGCAGGATAAAAGACCCTTTCTCTCTCAGAATGAGCTCATTTGGTGGATAAACAGAAATTCAGGTCGTTTAAAACCAGAAACTGCCTCCAGCCTGTCGGGAGTTTTACTGCTTTACCATAAAACTGCTTTTTACTTGACAAGGAGGTGAAAATATATTTCACAAAGAGTTTTAATGGTTGGATGAAAATGAAGAAACACTGACACAAAACTAACAGAAAAAAGACACAAAGACACACAGAAGAGGCATAAAGTGAACAAAAACAGGCAACATTTGACCATAAAACACACAAAATGAAGAAAAATACATTTATCAGATACAAAACCACCAGGAAAAAACACAATAAATAGAAAATAACACACAAAGGTGCCACAAAGACACACGAAGCAAACACTGAGAGACAGAAAATGACCACAGTAACACACAAAATAAAGGAAAATACATTCATCAGATACAAAACTACCAGGAAAAAACACAATAAATGGACAAGAAAACATACAACCATCACAAAGGTACACAAAGCAACAATAAAGAGCCAGAAAATACACAAATTGAATCAAAATACATTTATCAGATACAAAACTACCAGGAAAAAGTTTCGATTTTTCAAGTTTAAGTCTAAGTTTTAGATGATTCTGAGAGGAAAATCAGCCTTCGGCTGCTTCTCTTTGTGACTTTAACCCAGAAACAACTCTGAGAGTTCCAGTTTAAGCTGAAAATTTGCGAGTCGACAGGAAGAAGTGAAACTGTTCAAAGGTCCAGGCTGAGTCAGAGGCTCAGAGGAGGTGACGTGTCTGTTTAGAAAGCTGCAGAGATGAGATAAAACACCTCAGACCAAACGTTCAGCTGGTGTCCTGAACAGCTGATCTGATGATGTAATTCGGCTTTCAGGCTGACTCAGCATCCTCTGAATTACTGGGGGACTTCAGGAGCCAAATCAGCCGTTTGAGGAACATTTCTGAGTCACTTTTTGACCACAGATATTTCAATAAGAAGTTTAAGAAACCTCAAACTGAGAGTTGGGGGCTGTTGTTCAGCTTTAAATTTGAGCCAAAACGAGGTTGTTTTTCGGCTTTAAACATGGACAGGCTCCTCCAACCTGTGTCCCACAACACAGCCGGCGGTGAAAGTCCAGCGTTTTTGTGTTGCAGAAACTTTACTATTCCTCCTTTAACCTCCTAAGAGACAAAAGCTTTTATCTGGTTTCTGATTTGTTCCAGATCTGTGAATCAGTAGCAGTTTAATAACTAGACTTTGTCCTTGTACAGGTAGTTCTTCTTCATAGAGGCTCAGTGGGGTTTATCTTTAGAATTAAAATGTCTGTTTACAGATTTAATTAAATGTTTTTGCTATTTGGTTCTGAGGGTCCAAAGACTTATTTACAACATTGTAATTCCACAATAAGAACATGATTGGTATAAAATATCTAAAAGCATTTTCCTTTAGATTTCAAACAATAGAAAAGCAGTAAAAGCTGAGATTTCCGAGCTCTATGAACAAAACAAAGATTTTTCTTTATCTAAAGACCCAAAATTTTGATTTTTCAGTGATTTTCTAAAGAATTCCCCACACAGACGTTCCTCCCAATTTAAGTGGATCACACACAGTATCCTCTCCTTTCTCAGGTCACATGGGACAGCATGCCCTGCTCCCATTGGTCTGTTTGGATAAAATGTCTAAAAGCATTTTCCTTTAGATTTCAAACAGTACTGTCTGATAGCGTCTGCTATGAGGCCAAGAGGTCAAAGGTCAAAGGAAAAGGAAAGATCCTGGTACAGAGAGGCAGAAATGCAGCGTCCTCCATCAGAACAGTAAATCAGGAGGGTCAAGGGTCTGAAAAGGGTCTGAGTTTGTGGTTCAGAGTCTGTAAACGCTCTGATTCCAGCAGGGCGTCCAGCAGCTGGACTTCGGCCTCCGGCGACACCATAAAGCCGGCCGGCTGCGGCCAGCTGTTCACTCCTGAGACGCCTGCTTCACATCCACCATGAAGGCCCTCCTGCTTCTCGCCCTCTTCTCCGGTGAGCTGATTCCCCTTTTTTAGCTGAAGGCTTCGGTCGGTCTGACCCTCCAGAGGTGGTTTCTTATCCTGCAAAGGCTCCAGAATGAAATGAAAACACTTCATGTTAACATGTTTTCACTTTTAACAACTCAATCCTGTCAAATCTTTCCTGTCTGACGTAAAAACTAATGACGTTTTTGGCACCTTAACCCTTTAAAGCCTGTTTGTTTAAATCTCTGTGAGTTGGAGCCAGAACAAGGCCGTTTTTCTGCTTTAAACTGAGTTTATCTGAGAGTTTGAGGCCATTTTCCTGCTTTAAACTGTTTTTTTTAGCCAAAACGAGGCAGTTTTTCTGCTTTGAACTAAGTTGCAGCCAAAACAAGGCGTTTTTATGACTCAGAATAACCCCTTTAAAGCCTGTTTGTTCACATGGGTTCACAGAGGCTCAGAAACTTGAGATGAAGTCAGGTTTATATTTATTATTTCCTGAGGTGGGTCAGTTAGCGGCAGCAGCTGTGATTTTTCTGCTGTTTTAGCCAGAAAACAGTTTTTAAAAAAAGTTAAGCTTTCTGGCACCACCTGGTGGACAAAGTGGAACATGACATCAAGGAACATGATTTTCTGTAGTTTGAAACAAATTGTTTGTTTGGGGCATTTTAGCCTTATTCAAGGAGCTGAGACCACATCTGGAGTTTCTAACATCTTAAAACTGCATTTTTAATGATTTTAAATTAGACATTTAACCGGTTTGTAACAGTTTTAGTCAAGATGAGTGAGTTTTGAGTATTTAAGGAGCTGGAGGCAGAACTGGAGTTTTTTTTTTATTGTGGTTTTAATCTGTCTTAAAAGTGACATTTTTTCTGAAGTGGTTTGGGTAAATTTGGGGTTTAAAGAAAACATGAAAACATGACCAGCCTTCGATGGGAGGAGACCGAACCGGGTTTGAAGCAGGCCGGTCCTGGTCCTGGTCCTGGCCCTGGCCCTGATACTGGTCCCGATACTGGTCCTGATACTGGTACAGGTCCTGGTCTAAGTCCTGGCCCTACTCCTGGCCCTGTTCATGGCCCTGGCCCTGGCCCAGGTCCTGATCCTGGTCCAGTTCCTGGTCCTGGTTCAGGTCCTGGCCCTGGTCCAAGTCCTGGGCCTGGTTCAGGTCCTGGCCCTACTCTTGGCCCTGGCCCTGGTCCTGGTCCTGATGATCTGTGTCCCCCCTCAGTGTGCAGTGCCAACGTCATCTGGCAGGAGCCAAAGACCAGCCTGGACGTGGTGAAGGAGGCCTTCTGGGACTATGTCGCGAAGGCCACGCTCACAGCCGAGGACTCCCTGAAGCAGATCCGCGAGTCCGAGCTGGGACAGGAAGTGAAGTAAGTCAAAGGTCAAAGGTCGGGCGTTGGGCGCGGGGGTTGGCGGGCTCCTGGCTGACGGCTCCCGTTTTTCTCTCAGCTCCAGGATCTCCCAGAGCGCGGTGGCGGTGAACCAGTACGCGGCGGCCCTCCGGCAGCAGGCGGCGCCCCTCGCCCAGGACTTCCTGAGCCGCCTGTCCCAGGAGGCCGAGCGGCTGAAGGCCGGGCTGGAGAAGGAGCTGAGCGCGGCCCAGCCCGGAGCCCAGCAGCTGCTGGCGGAGCTGCGGGTCCAGGTGGAGCAGCTGCAGAGGGAGGCCGCCCCCTACGTGGAGGCCATGGACCCCCAGGCCCTGAAGGCCGTGCTGGAGCAGGGCAGCCAGCAGCTGAGGGCCCAAATGGAGCAGAACCTGGGCCGCATGCAGGCCCAGATGGCCCCCTACTCCGATGAGATCAGGGAGAAGGTGGAGCAGAGCCTGGACGAGTTCCAGAGGAGCATGGTGCCCCTGGCCCAGAGCTTCGAGACCCAGCTGGGCCTGAAAAGCCAGGAGGTCCAGCAGAGGCTGGCCCCGTTCGGGGAGGAGCTGAAGGCCAAGCTGGACTCCAGCGCCCAGGACCTGCAGGCCCAGCTGGCCACCCTGTGGGAAACCTTCACCAAGAAGACCCAGTAAAGGGACTGTGGGAACCTGTATTTATTCTGAATCCACCAAGCATGTGTTCAACACAATAAAAAGACAAAAATCTGTCCTCTGTGGTCCGTTTCTGCTGCTCAGATAAACTGTTTCCTGATCCTGAACTCATGTTTCCACTTCTGTCTGTAATATCTGCTGGAACACAGCTCATTTAGTGGAAATCAGAGCTGGTTCTGAAGGGAAAACCAGCAGAAAGTGTGAGTTCCTTTCCCTCAGAAGCTCACAGGTAGATGGTTTCCTGCCCTGTTTTACAGAAAGCCAGACAGTTAGTCATTAAAGAACCACGAAAAAAATTACAAATTTGGTTTATAACTTCACATTGACAAAAAAAGACGACAAAAAGCTTTTTTTTTGTAAGAAACGCTATTTATGGGTCTCCAGAGGTATGTACAGGTCATTCAGGTTCCATGTGACAACAAAAGGCAACAAAATCAGTCAGACTTTACAGTAAAAAAAGGAAATAAGGTTAAAAGTTGTAGTTGGACGACGGGTTCTGATGGTGGCTGGGTCCAGTGGCGTCCGGCCGGTCACAGACTGGTCAGTGAGTCCTGGGGGGCCGGCGGCATTAGCCGATGGTGATGCCGAAACCACACTGGAACTTGTTCTTTTGGTGGTTCAGGAAGGAGCAGAGGACCAGAGACAGCGGCAGGGGGAGGAGCTTCTTCTCCAGGGTGGCGCCCACCACCCAGTTACTGTCCACTGAACCTGAGGCGGGAAAGAGGACAGAAACCCAGTTTCAAACACAAACTATTCTCCACTTAGCGTGTTTTTATGCCTAAAAAAGGGCTATTGGGTTAAATAAAGTGTCTTATGGGCAAATAACAAAAAACAGACATTAATATATTTTATATTTAAACATTTAAGCCCAAACTGCTGCCTTCAAATCCCATTTAGGGTCTTTACAAGAAAGCAGCTCAGAGCCTGAACCTAAGAGCAGTGAGCCCCCTGAAAAGGTGGGAATCACCATAGCAACCAGTCACAAACATTCTATTATGGCCGACCCCTGAAAAGGAGGGAATCACCACAGCAACCGGTCACAAACGTTCCATCATGGCTGCCCCCTGAAAAGTAGGGAATCACCATAGCAATCGGTCATAAAAATTATATTATGGCTGCCCCCTGGAAAGGAGGGAATCACCATAACAACCGGTTACTAACGTTCCATCATGGCCACCCCCTGAAAAGGAGGGAATCACCACAGCAACCGGTCACAAGTGTTCCATCATGGCAATCCCCCTGAAAAGGAGGGAATCACCACAGCAACCGGTCATGAACATCTATTATGGCTGCCCCCTGGAAAGGAGGGAATCACCATAACAACCGGTTACTAACGTTCCATCATGGCTGCCCCCTGTAAATGAGGGAATCATCATAGCAACCGGCCACTAACATTCCATCATGGGTGCCCCCTGAAAATGAGGGAATCACCACGACAACTGGTCACAAACATTCCATCATGGCTGCTGTTGAATGTTTTGATTTATTGGATCAGAATCCGGACCAGAATAAGCTAACAGGATTCAGGAAACCCCTCCTCTCCCTTCCCGGGAGCTGCTGGACAGCCAGCGCTGTGCTTGTCTCCGTGGTAACCAGTGCCGCTGACCTTTGAACTGCAGGTTGGCTTTGGGGACATCCAGGTGGTAGCCGAAGGTCACGCTGGAGTCCTGCATGCGGGCACTGGCCTCCAGCTCCACGCCGACCTGCAGCTGTAGAGGAGCTTATGAGGCTCTGAGGGAGGGGGGGGGGCTGGAGAGGGGGGGTTAGGGGGGAGGGGGGGGTACCTGCTCATTGGCTCTATGGTAGTAGGACGCGTGAGCCCCAGCCGAGCCCACTGTTAGCGTGGCGATGCAGCTCTTGCCTACAGGGACACAGAAATGGCGCCCATAAGATGGCGCCCATAAGACAGCGCCTGTCAGGTATGGGCCGGGCGTGGCGCCCTGGGCCAGCCGTGGGTCGGGCGCTGGATCGGTGGACTCACCTGTGTACCTGCCCACCAGCGACAGGACGCAGCCCTCCTCGGCCGGCCGGCGGTGGTACACTAGCTCCGCCCCCAAGGCCAGGGCCGGCGTGATGGACTGCAGGTAGTGAGACACCAGGACTCCTGACACACAAACACACAGAGAGGCTTCAGCTGATGGACCACCAAGCTCATTTTACAATGATTTTCCTTCATCTAAAGACCTAAAAAGCTGATTTCACAATGATTTTCCGTCATCTAAAGACCTAAAAAGCTGATTTTACAATGATTTTCCTTCATCTAAAGACCTAAAAAGCGGATTTTTCTGTGATTTTCTAAAGAATTCCCCACACAGATGTTCCTCCCCATTTAAATGGATCCCACACAGTATCCTCTCCTTTCTCAGGTCACATGGGACAGCATGCCCTGCTCCTATTGGCCCGTTTGGATGACTGAGCCCCGGTTTGAATCCCCTCCTTCAATATAATCAGGCTAACACGGCCTCGTCCAATCAGATCTCTGGAACTGAGCAGGAATTGCTGGTTTCACACATCTGTGTGGGTCACCCACCGGACCCGACCAGGACGTCGGGGTTTCCCAGCGTTATGGTGGCGGTGAAGTCCTCCCCCCTCAGCTCGGCGTCGCCCTGCCAGTTCACAAACTTGTTCTGCTGCGTCTGAGGACACATCGAGACCCGGTCAGCAAACATCTGGTTCACAAACCCAGTGCTGCCCCGAGAGCCGGCCGAGGGCTCTAGGCTCCTGCCTGTGGTAAGGAGGAGCTAGCAGCTTATGGCTAACAGCTAATGGCTAATGGCTGGCAGCTAGTGGCTAACAGCTAATGGCTAGTGTCTGGCAGCTAGTGGCTAACAGCTAATGGATAGTGGTTAACAGCTAGCAGCTAACGGCTAACAGCTAATGGCTGACAGCTAGTGGCTAACAGCTAATGGATAGTGGTTAACGGCTAGCAGCTAACAGCTAGTGGTTAATGGCTAACAGCTAGCAGCTAATGGTTAGCAGCTAGTGGTTAACGGCCTCCCTCCCAGTAGGGCAGCTGCTCACCTGGAAGGCCAGCTTGGACCGGATCCGGCTGCTGATCTGGTGGATGATCTGCGCGTTGAGGCTGCCGCTGTTGTCCATGTCGCCCACCACCACCGGGAAGAACTGCAGCACAGCAGGCTGCCGTTAGCACCCCTGTTAGCGCCTCCGAGCAGGAACTCGGAAGGACTCCCCTTTTTCAGGCCCAGATTGAGTCTGGGCTCTCAGACCCACTTTTATCCTCTCAGGGTTTCAGCCAACAGAAACTGCCTCCTTAAGGGTACGCTTATTTTCCTTTAAAGCTAGCTCTTAACTGAGGACGAGACCCACGTCCCTTTGAGCCTGTGCTGAATCCTGACATTTACGGAGTTACTGATAGTCCTCGAGGATCAGCGCCCAAAAGTATGGTTTTATTTTAAGATATTTTAAAACGAGGGAATCACCATAGCAACCGGTCACAAATGTTCCATCATGGCCATCCACCCAGAACTGGGTGACAAATTAAAAAATCTAAATGATTTTCTATGTTTTTTTTCCTAATGAATAAAAGGTACTTTTTGTTGAATACTTTGTGCTTTTTTTATGTACTCTTTACAGTTTCAGGTTCAATCTGAGCAGGAAATGCCGGGAGTCCTTCCCTGGTTATGAGTGGCGTACCTCAGCTGGACCGGTCTGCTTCGGCCCCACGAAGGTGGCTCCAAACCTGTAGGTGGAGTCGCCGCTGGTGCTGAGCAGCACTGAGTGGTTCACCTGCCCGAAAGAAGGATTTAGAGGCTCTGAGTGACACCCGGAAGCCCAGAAACAAAGACACAGTTGCTTCCTGAAGCCTGACCCAAAGCTAGTCTGTATTTCAGCTCCAGAAGGCTGAAGGGTGCTTTAAAGCTTAAAAAAAGGAATTAATCTGGAAAAGGAGCAAAAAAAAAAAAAAATTAGTTTTCTATGATTTTTCTTATGAATCCCTTAACCTTTTATACATTTATTATA